CTGTCATCAATGCTGATGCTGGGCTCTGCTCTGTAGCGCTGCAGCTCTCCCACAACTCAAGCACAAAGAAGCCCAATCGTACGCCTACAGGCGGATTTTATGAAAGGCAACTCTGTGGCATACAGAAACAGTACAGTTAGACATTAAAAATTAGATAACGCGATCAAAAAACATAGTGCGTTAAATATGGCTGTAATTAATTATTCACAATTAACGCGATAATTTGACAACCCTAATTCTCAGAGATGAAGCAGAAGTTTCTTGCATTAAAATATAGTCACACATGATGGTTCCTCTTTAAGGACATCCATGTGTTAGTGTTGGATTTACTGTCTGAGTCATCTGAAGGTTTGTTTTATGTTTTATGGTTTGTTTTATTTATTGTTTTATTGTTTTTAAATTATTTTAAAAACAATAAACAATTATTTTAGTATTTATTTCCTTTTCCTATTTATTATTATTTTATGTCCCTGTGTTGCTTTGTCTATTTATGTACAGCACTTTGTTTCAGCCGTGGCTGTTTTAAAGGGCTATATAAATAAAGTTTAGTTGAGTTGAGTTGAGTTGAAGACATTTTTGAAGTTGTTCACCTTTTGAAGACTGAATCTGAAACATTTTCTGTCACAAATTGTGATTGGTCATGAAAGCTGGGTTGGCTGCTGATTGATTGGCTGATTTGATTCCAGGAGAGCCAATCAATGTGCAGTGACTGAGCAGGATGTTTGAACAGAGAATAATCCAGAGGAGTGAATGAAAGGATTATTCACAAGTGTTTTTTTATCCTTTCAAACAAAATACCATGTCATGGAGACATGAGGGAGTTAACCCTGCAGATGCTAATTATGCCTCACTGCTCCTCTTCAGGTTTTACAGAGTTTTACAGAGTGATGCAGATAACAACTTGTGGTCCAGTATTTCAGGCTTTGGAGCTAACTGATTCATAAATAATGTGGATCAAACATTCCTTTCAGCCAATAACTGAAGTGTAAGTGAGCAGGATGTTTGAACGATGAATGATTTAGAGGAGTGATTGAGAGCATTTTATTCAAGTGGTTTATGAGCAATATTGTAATTAATCTCCATGTCATCAAGATGAGATCAGTTTACCATGAGAGCTCTTCATTTTGTTCCTCTAGTACTGTATGAAGTTTGATAGTTTTACAAGATGATGGTAAAACTTGTGGGTCAAGTCTGCCTTTCAGCCAACCTGTTGATTCAGGATCAGTTTATCAGTCTAACATAATGTGTTTTACTACAGAGGTGAGGATACACCTTTAGAGCATGATGTAAATGGTTCCTTCAAACAAATGATCAGTATGTTCATTTTATAAGAGTCTTTCAAAGTCCACATACAGCCCCATCAAAGCACTGTTACATTACCATAGGTTGATTGATTTTACTGTATTATGCTAATTAGCAGGTATTTGTAGGTGTTTAGCAGATACACTCTGTATCAGTGAGGCACGGCTCTTTTTTCTGCTGTCAACATCAAATCATGACAAAATGTTCTGTTCTTGTTGCAGTTTCGAATCTTGGTGGGACGACTCAGGTGAAGTCAAGCTCTGTGGGAATCTGTTCTGTGCAGCAGCAGAGAGAGAACAGCAGACAGGAGAGAAGATACTGGAGCTGTTATCATCAGTGTGCACATATCAGAGATTCCCTCTCAAAAAGAAATGGTGTGATTTCCTGCTGGATCTGTACACTCATGAGACTGGAAAATGTTTGAGTGTCCTTCCATCATTACGGTCAGTTTTCCAGTCAGCTCCTGCAGTTTGGTTCATAGACCTCTCAAAGAGAAAGACCTCCATCCTCCTGGAAGTGCTGAAACTCCAATCAGAGAAGAAACAAGTGGAGCTGACAGGCTGGTCAGATGAAGAGAGTGAAGTGAGGAGCTTCCTACAGTGTGTGCCTTATATCTCACAGCTCAGGTAAATGAATTGTTCTTCATGTGACTTCAGTGCACATTTGTCAAGTTGTGTTCTTACATCTACAGCAGCTCACAGGTAGTTTTAAGGTGAAGGTACATTTTCAATTGTCACTGTGTTTAGTTTTATAGATGGCATGTCTTTATTCCATGCACCCAGATGTACTTATTCCTAAATTACCCAGAGTTGTGTGCAGGTCAAACACCCTCAGCAACACTGTGACAGAGTGCTGCTCATCTCCCATGAACTGATTTGTGTTTACTCCATCAAGCACCAAGTTTGTTACTTTGAGGCTGTTTTCATCAGTCATCTGTGGAGTCAGTAAAAAGTAAAGAGAGACTCAGCTATAATGATGTGATCCAACAAGCTCCAGCAATGTAAGCAACAGAGACCATTAACATTGTGTTGATGATGAGGAGTTCAGCTCTTCTTCAGGACCAGTGATGGTCTCTCTCACTGTTTTACAGCAAAATATCATCACAGTTAATAACACACATAGAAATGGACTATTTTGTCCTAATGTGTGTGTTTTTTCAAAGTCTAATCCTTGTTGAATTACATTGTACATTCAATGATTTTTAATACAATATGTCTCATACTTATTGTGTCTCAGCTGTGGTCCAGAGTTCTTCCAGAGGGTGTGCACATTAATCTCTGTGAGATCCAGAGAGGAGGCCGAGCAGTTGGTCTCTTTGCTGCAGCTGCTGGGGTTCAGTCTGCTGTTAACAGGGGAGTTGCACCTGAACACCTGCCGCACTGTGGGAAGAGTCCTCGTTCTTTGTGGATCGGATGTGAATCTCATCCTCACACCACAGAAGATATCTGTCAGAGGAGCCTCCGTCCTCTTCAGACGTACAACACGTCTTCACAGTCTGAGGTACAGATTCATATAATTACTGTTTTTCCTCCTGATATTACCGTCTTGTCCAGTTTGAATGTTTAGTGCGTGGTGACAATAATTAATGTCAGGACTGCTTCTTTCACGGTCGTCTTCATTTTCAGGCTTTCCAATAACATGGCCTTGCTCCTGTGTCGATGGGTAAGAGGAGGGAGAGTGGTCTGTCCGGTGACTGTCGAAGAGCTTTCTCTCTCCCCTCAGAGAGCCAAACCATCAGAGAGGGTGTTGTTGAAGGTTGTCAGTAATGTGGCGTCCCTGCTGAGATACTGGACAGTCAGACGGTTAGACCTGACTGAGTTCTGTGTTCCTGCTCAGGGTGTCATTCCACTGCTGCTTCATGATGGCCCTCTGACAGTCAAGTAAAAGTCTTTCCTGAGCCTTATAAACACATACTAATGAATGAAAATGTATTCATTTAATTTCTGACATATATTCTTACATTTTTATCTGCAGACTGAGTGAGGAGATCTTCCAGCAGCTACTCTTCCTCCTCTATGAAATCCAGGACAAGCACTTGACCCAGTTCTTCTTCAGTAAGGTCGGTGGAGACCTCACCTCCTGCTGTGTGAACTGGGAGCTTCTTCACTATCTGCTGCAGCAGTCGTCATCTCAGACCTTCACTGTGAACCTGAGGAAGAACAGCTTCTTACAGAGGAGCATCACACGTCTGCTTCCCTTTCTGGACAGGATTGTGTTTAAAAGGTGATCACTTTACAGTTTGTCCTATTTATTCTTTTCCATGTGTTGCTGTTGTGACTTGTTTTATACTAAACAAAGTGTCCTGGTTTCAGGCTCAGTCCCAGCTTTGTGTTGACTGCCATCAGAGAGATCTATGAAGCTCGTGCCAGTCCCATTATACCCAGTTTACTGAGGTCATTTGATCATGTGATCAACCTGAGCTGCAGACAGATGGACTCAGTGGACTGTGCTGCTCTGCTCTTCACCCTCAGACACAGTGTCAGAGTTAAACTAAACCTCCTGTGGAGCTCCATACCAGCAGGGGAAACAGAGTCCATCCTCTTTACACTGGACAGAGTTTCTCAGCTCAGGTCAGACATTGGTGCCCTGGATGGGTCTTCTTTCATTAGTATAATATACATATATGATTGGTTCGTAGTAGTTTTGTCTGTCACTCTATCAGTTATAATCACAATGTACTCACCAAGTTAACGGCTGAGACCTGTGAGCATGGAGCTGAAAAGAAGTCTGATGGGTCAACAAACACGAGGAATCAGACAGGTTGGAAACAAACCAACACTTTTAAACCACTTTATGTGGAAGTCACACTGAAAGTGAGCCTTGAGATGTCAGACATGCACGACAGCAGTCAGTACAGTGGGACAACGTTAAAACAGGACGTTTGTCTTTTTAGTGTGACGGATGTTTGGGTCATAACTTTACCTTTGTTTTGTCTTCTAAATTACTTTGTCTAACTGCAAGGTTTGTTTCTACCCTGTCTGATCATCTGACTGCTTGTTTCCTGACCATTCAGAATGCTTGTAAGTGATGACATCATGTTCACAGATCGTCTCCATTAACGTGATGACAAAAGCTGTGATAATACGATTATAATTTTCAAATAACAATTATCCTTTAATTACTGTAAAAACTTCAGTTAAAGGCCCCGACAGGCATTTACTTCCCTACTTAGGCCTGTCTCAGTTAGAGGCCTGGTCTGGTTGCCAAGCAGCTCATTTTTATAGAAGTTCTCTGGATGTATAAAACTGGTTGTTGGCTACTGACTTGAGCTAACTTTAGTCAGTTGCTAAGAGTGTGCATACAAATATAAATGTTTAAAAATGTTGGCAATATGAAGATGCTACACATCATTAGCTCAGTTACATTTTTCACAGTTCAGACATCAGTTCATTTTACTAAAAACATGAACACAAAGGCGACCATAATTCATTGAGATTTAAAAGCATGGCAAATAAGAGACATGAAAAATAACACGGTGACTCCCTACGTTTCCTCTGAAGCTGTCGTAAAGTCAGAATATGTGTCGGTTCCTTGATTACCCTGTAAGTTAGTCATATTCCTTTAGTGCGTACGGGTCCTCAGATCAAAAGAATCAAGAGTTTTTCATAAAAATTAATCTAAGTTATGAATATTGTTTTAACAGGATGAAGTGGAGTTGTGTCAGTATGCCAGGTGCTCGGTGCCTTAGTGTCCTGACTCTGAAGTGTTCTCTCTCGGGGCTAAATCAAATCAAATAATAATAATTCCTTGCATTTCAATAAGGTCCTCGCACTGCTTGGTGCTCGGGCCCTCATGATTCATAACTGATATATTATCTGAAGCCTCATTTTTAAACAAATAATGTTCTTACTGGTTTAAAAACAATTTGATTGTATTTCCCATCTTTGCTGAGCTGCAGTTTGTTTGAAAGGAACTAGAGGCCTCTCCTGAATACAGGCCTGTTGATGTACGTGATAATAGCCCGGGCTATTTTTGAAGTTTTACAGTGACATTATTTGTGTCTTTTATTTGGAGTAAATCTGAACCTGCAGAACATTCTGGTAACTGATCAGTGAAACTATATGGTTCTAGTATTTATTAAAATCTTCATTGAATTTTTCCTTCCAGTGTTGACAGGAGCCTGCTGCTGAGGTTGGTCCACTGCTGTGCTGCCTCTGACGTCCAGCAGGGGGCAGCAGTCGACCTGCTCAGGACTGTGCAGCACAGGCTGGATCTCTCCTGCTCCTCCTGTGTGGAGCTGGATCAAAGTGAGACCCTCAGTCTGACTGCTGGCGACTGCAGGGCCGTCTCTGCCATCCTGAGACACAGCAGCCAGGACACACAGGTCATCCTGCAGGACTGTGAGGTGGAGGACAGCGGACTGGACCTGCTGTTTCCTGTTCTAAACAGAGTCCGCCTCAGGTGGGGAAGACCATGAAATGCCTGCAACCAGAGAAGAAGGTTGTTGTCATTTGTGTTTCTGCATCGTCACAGTCTGCTCTTTACTCTGTTTCTCCTGTTCAGAGCCAGCAAAGCTGTCCTCCTCCAGCTGGTGTCCCTGGTTCCTGTGAACAGTGAGAGGGACACAGTGAGACGGGCAGTGTCCCTCTGTAGAGCCTTGGGTGGAGAGCTGGACTTCAGTCACTCCACACTGGATCAGAGGGCCTGTGGAGCTTTGGCCCTGATGCTGGACTCGTGTGAAGAGCTGACAGAGCTGGACCTCAGTCACTGTCGGCTCACTGACCAGCTGCTGCTCACACTCAGCGCACATCTGCACAAAGTACAAGTCCTGGAGTGAGTATTTGAGAATCTGTTACAGCAACAGGTCGAGTCTGTGTGCGCTTTAAAAAGAGCCGGTAATGTCAGCTCCTCACAGTTTAAAGAGCTGAGACGACAGCAAGACGGCTTTCTGGAGGACAATGTTCCTTCAAAGATAAACACTCAAGTCTGTTCACTGTCATGATGCCTTATATATGTGTCACAGGATATTCCATGCCTAAACCTCAATAGCAAAATACATCAGGCCTCTTGATGTGTAACACACAAACTAACACAAAACTGACAATAACCAGCCTGAACCTCCATGTTTTGAACCGTAGTTTTAAATTATACAATGTAAAACGTCTTGTGCTAATAACGTTAGCATGTTGTATTTGTGGGGAAAATGCGTCCAGTTAAAGACGAGTGTTTGTCCATGAATGCTGCGAGTTACAGTGAAGCTGATTTGTGTTTGAAACTGTCTCTATGAAGCCATGTTTAATTCTTTAAGTCGAACTTTACAGCACTTCACAGAAACCCCACCATTTAACAGTGTTTTGAGGTGTAACTGCACAGACACACCACAACACAAGTATATTATGTAACAAGGAGGTGTCTTCAGGTTGACATGTTGTGACCAGGCGTGTGTCATACTGTCGGGGGACAATAGTTTGACACTGTATGAATCAGACACTAAACTGAAACTCCTGAAAAGTTCAAGCCCTGTCACATTAACTGAGGAAATAATCCTACAGTAACTGGACATTCTCATCTGGAACAGTGTAAATCTTTAAGAATATCAATATGGTCATGGACTTTCCAAGTCCACATACTACGTGCAAGGTACTCGACACCATGTCAAGTTCTTTCAAGATGCACTTCAGGAAATGTAACGTTTACATACAGTCTCAAAAAGAGAACAGGGTTTGGCTCAAGAATTTTACGGGACGCAAACACTGCTCTCTCAGGTGACAGTTGGTGTTTGTTAATCGTTAACATGAACTTCAAAACTGTTTTGAAATGTAAAATAATGGAATTATAAACATATGATTAAAAATGTGATTCATCATGATTTCAAAAAATAACCATTTGACAGCCTTCACAACATGGCGTTACTTTTGAACAGCGACAAACCAAAGCAAGTTCATGCAGACTGTATGTATATATTATAGTATGTATATTATATACAGTGTCATACAAAAGTTTGGGCACCCCTGGTCAAAATTACTTTTACTGTGAGAAGGTAAGTAAGTCGAAGATGAACTGATCTCCAAAAGTCATGAAGTTATAGATGAAACATTTCTGAGATATTTTGAACAAGATAACTTTTAATTTCAATCTATTCCAGTTTCAAAATTACCAAAAAGGAAAAGGGCCTGAAGCAACAGTTTGGGCCCCCTGCATGGTCAGTGCTCAGTAGCGCCCCCTTCTTCTAAACACTTCCAGTATCCAGCTCAGAGTCTTTCAGTTCTTGTTTGGAGGATTTTCACCCATTCTTCCTGCAAAAGGCTTCTAGCTCTGTGAGATTCTTGGGCCGTCTTCATGCTCTGCTCTTTGAGCTCTATCCACAGATGTTTAATGATGTTTAGGTCGGGGGACTGTGAGGGGCGTGGCCAAACCTTCAGCTGGCTCCTCTTGAGGTCGTCCATTGTGGATCTGGAGGTGTGTTTAGGATCATTGTCCTGTTGTAGAAGCCATCCTCTCTTCATCTGCAGCTTTTTTTACAGATGCTGTGATGTTTGCTTCCAGAATGAATCCATTCTTCCCTCTACCTGTGAAATGTTCCCCGTGCCACTGGCTGCAACACAAGCCCAAAGCATCATCCATCCACCCCCGTATTTTCTGTCCAAACATACCTGTGCTTATGCTGAATTTAGTGGTGAGGACACAGGAAAGGTTTTCTAATGATGACTCTTCCATGAAGGTCATACCTGTCCAGGTGTGTCTGCACAGTAGAACAGTGCACCACCACTCTTCCTTTCTAACAATCCTACGAGCAGCTCTCTCAGAGAGTTTTCAGCTTGACCTCCACAGTTCCTGTTAACTGCCATTTCTTACTGACATGACCAACTGAGGAAACAGCTCCCTGAAAACACTTTGCTATCTTCTTCTAGTCTTCATCAGGTCTTTTAGTTTTCAGAGTGCTAGGCAGCTGTTTAGAGGAGCCCATGGCTGCTGTTGTTGGGACAAGGTTTCAGGAGTCAGTTGAAATTAGCATCACCTGGCCTTTGCTAACGATGACTGTGAACAAACTCATTAAGGTCTGAGACCCTGGGAAAAGCTGTCTGAGAGCTCAAATGTCTTGAGGTGCCCAAACTTTTGCACGGTGCTCCTTCCCTGTATTTCACTCTAAAATTGTACATTTTGATGACACCTTTTCATGCCTTTTGAAGATCAGGTAATCATTTTCACAGCAAAATAAATTTTGACCAAGGATCCTTGAACTTTTGCAGGCCACTGTAAACCAAAAGTCCTGAACAATAATTCGTAGACATGCACAGTAGTGTTCATCCCTCAGTTTTGTATTTTTTGATAATCTTATTTTTTAAATATTTACAAAAGCGTTTTACACATTTTCATTTCCTTTTCAAAACAAATTCACTCATTTTAATGTTACACATTTCTGTTTTGCATTTGCTCTAAACTTTGTTTTTCTTAAACATCTAAATTCCTCTTAGTTCACGCCGACTCACTCTTATTTGGAACAACTTTGAAAGCAACTTATTTTTTGACTTCATGCATTTATTGTACAGTTTTATATTCCATCAAAACTCTGCATGTGAGAGCTTGTGATTTTATGAATAATTTGTCGGTTTAAAATTCTTAGAGCTCTCCTCTGTGACATGCTCTATGTGTAGAGGACGGTCAGTTATGCTGCAGTGTGAGCAAACTGAAATAATTACTGCAGATACTCAGCTGTGCTTCATTAGAGATGATACGGTGCACATACCTGGTGATGACCAGAGGATTTTGACTGACTGCAGAAGCAAAAGCAAAACATAAGTTGTTTTTTGTTGCTGTAGTGATTTTGGAGAGGTCTGAGGTGTCTCGTGACGAGCTGGTCTGTGCAGACTGAAACACAAGTGAACATAACGTGTGCTTGGACGGTACCTGCTCTGCCTCCAGCAGCAGCCGGCTGATAGAACGTACAGTAATAAATGTACCTCTGTGTCACTCTTTACAGTCTGAGTCACAATAACGTCACTGATGCTTCAACTGACACGTTACTCCAACTGGTCTCCACCAACCCCTCCATTCACACTGTGAGGTAAGCATTTATAGAGATATCATAGGCTAACACAGAGATCATTCCTAATTTTACATCAGTCGAATGAACACTGTTACACATATTATTCTGTCTCTGCTTTGGTGTTTTTCAGACTTTTCGGGAACAAGATTGTGGACAGAACATGCTTTGACAAACACAAGTTTGAAATGTGGTGAACTGGTGGTCAGCGTGCTGGAACTGTGCTCATCAGAGAATAACTGTCTTATGTTTCATGTTAAAAATGAAAGTATCACTGCAGTTCGAGTACTAAGACTGTGATTGAGGTAGTCAGTCTATATGGAGGCCAAGAGCTGCCAGCAATGTTTGATAATAATTATATGGAGATCATGACACTGGCTGCAAAAGTTCTGGCACCCCTGGCCAAAAACTCTTTTACTGTGAGTAGTTCAGTGAGTAGAAGATAAACTGATCTTCAAAAGACATGAAGGTAAAGATGAAACATGCTAGATCAGTGTATTATTTTTGTTTTGTACAATTTAGTGTGAAAAAGGGAAGCAGCACCATGTAAAAGTTTGGGCACCCCAAGACATTTGAGCTCTCAGACAACTGTTACCAGGGTCTCAGGTTGTTAGGGCTCTGGCTTGTTCACAGTCATCGTTAGGAAGAGCCAGGTGATGCTAATCTCAAAGCTCAATGAACGACCTCAAGAGGAGCCAGCTGAAGGTTTGGCCACGCCCCTCACAGTCCCCCGACCTAAACATCATTAAACATCTGTGGATAGAGCTCAAAGAGCAGAGCATGAAGACGGCCCAAGAATCTCACAGAGCTAGAAGCCTTTTGCAGGAAGAATGGCTGAAAATCCTCCAGACAAGAACTGAAAGACTCTGAGCTGGATACAGGAAGTGTTTAGAAGAAGGGGGCGCTACTGAGCACTGACCATGCAGGGTGCCCAAACTGTTGCTTCAGGCCCTTTTCCTTTTTTGTAATTTTGAAACTGGAAAAGACTGAAATTAAAATGTTATCCTACTTAAACTATTGAAGAAATGTTTCAGCTTTAACTTCATGCCTTTTGGAGATAAGTTCATCGTCTACATACACTTTTGCATGTGACTGTATCTCTTGTTCTGGAGGTACTATACTTTCATGGTGCTCATATTTGTGATCGACACCCCACATCAGATTGTTCTGTTGGGATCACGAATAAATTATTTTTGTAATGTGGCAAAACAAACAGAGCCATAACTGTTCTATCAATATTATGAGTCGGCAGAATTGATCTTTTTGTACTTGGTGATATTGTTATTTTAGGATGAATGTTTAGTCAAAGGGATAGTTTGTGATGTATGAAGTGGGGCTGTATGAGGTATGTATTTATAGTCAGTAGATGGCGGTCAGGTTGCCCCCAGTTTGGGACAGCAGGCAGGAGTCCCAACAGGGAAGCTCAGTGACATTGCTGTGGACGGGGGTTGATATCAAAACGTGGTTTAGCCATCTTAAAAGAGGCTCACCTATCAGTCTGAGAGGATGCTATATTGTAGATTTTTTCAGTGCCTTACCTCGCTGTCAGACTGCTCTATCTTAACAACAAAACCTCTGTGTTCTTCCTCTGCTGCTGCACACTGTATTACTCCACAGGTCTGTTTGGGTCAGACTGTCAGAGATTTATGGAAGACACAACTAACACTTCGTCTTCGTTGCTAATTGCCTTCTTCCCGAGTTTTTGTAAGAAGTCCAGCCAGTGGAGTAATACAGTGCACGGCACCAACTAACCCTTTAAAGGTTGAGAAAAATGACTCTTTGATGATATTTTAAAGTAAGGATATATTTTTAAAAAAATGTTTGATACACTGAAAAAATGTTAATATGGGTATTTTTTGATGGGTTTTTTTTCATCTCTTTTGTCTTAATATGACAATTATCTTAGCTTTCCTCATTAAGAAAAAACAACAACTTTATTTTGGTTGCTTTATACAGGTGAAAATCTGTGTTGGCCAGTTACCAGCTGAGTGACTTTATGTCAGGAATGGACCTCATTCTTCTGCTAATAACCAGTTGTTCTAAAACATTGTGAAATGCACAGCAGTAAATATCCTCAATAAATACTTGATATGAAAGAGCCAAATGCCTGTAGCCACATTATATTTAATGTATTATTTTGAGGTGTGTATGTCTGATTTACATTTGATAAATCATCACAAAAACCTCCTTGTTTATATTTAAACAATTCCAGTAACAAAGTTTAAAGGTTTTTGTGTTAAAAATAAATAAATAAATGATAAAGTTTTATGGATCATGAGACACACATGCAGACAGGGCATAGCTTTGAGACTGTGCACATGAATCAGATGTTTTATGACATTGCTTCCCATGACCGAGTCATCAGCCCGGCCTTCCACAATGAGTGCAGGTACTGAGATGTTACAGTCGAGCGCTTTCATTTTAAGCTCACAGACACCAACAGGGTTTGTTTCTTCTGAGGCTACACCCAAGCTAGCAAAGTCACAATGTGTTGAGCCCAGTGAGGCCCAGCAGAGGGCACTTGTGGACAACTGAACACCGGTCTCAGTGAAAAATTAACAAGAGATGAAAACAAACAGTATTGATCCTTTCCTTGACTAACTTACCTTGACTCCTGCTATGCCTTGTCTTTAGCCTGCGGCTAGGCTAGCAGTTTCAGGGTTTTTGTTTTTTGTTTTGGAGATAATTCTAATCAAGCTCATGATAAAGCAGTCTTGTTAATGAAGGTGGCTGTGTGTTGGTTGCCGACCTGAAAGTGGAACTCGGGGAGAAGAACAAGTTAATCTATGATCTAACATCTGTAGCAACAGCATAGTCAGAACACCTCCCCCCTCATGGGCAGTCATAGTGATGAAGCCTGTGTTCGTGGTCTGGAGGTGAAGCGATCCACTCTACAGGCCTCTTTACACCAGACGAGGACAGCTGGCTCCGCCTTGGAGCAAAACCTAAGACCCAAGTTTGCTCGACTCCTTCCATCCCAGAGCCTTGGATTCAGGTTGGGAGCCCTAAACACCACCAAGGTTAACTCCACCTCCAGCTGCTCAAGCTGGAGGTGGAGTTAACCTCAAGCTCTGGGAAATCTGACTTCTCCATCTTCCTAGGTGCGTCTCAATACAGCTGACTGTCATCCTTCCCTGTCGGCTGCTCCCCCCAATCGGCCAGCAAATGGACAACTTTGACTTGCCTCCATTGCTTCCAGGTGCAGAGCGCTCCCCATTGGCTAATGCTAACCAGCCAGATCAAGGCGCAGGCTGTTAAGGGAGGTAGTGTCCAGACACCTCTTTGTGGTCATTTTTAGTCTCTTCCTGGTCCATATGTGTTAAAGTGGACCATTTTGCTTTTTTCAGGGTCATATTGATATAAAGGGGTCTAGTGGAACAGATTTATGTGCTTTAATGTTCAAAATACACATTATTTGTCTTATACTGCTCACTGCTGCAGCACCTCTGTCTGAAACGCTGTGTTTGGGCTTATGTCCCGCCTCCCCAGCAGCCCAGTCTGCTCTGATTGGTCAGCTTGCTCAGTCTGTTGTGATTGCTGCAACGCTTAGAGCGTGATCTGAAATCCTTACCTTATCTGACTTCACCTCCGGAAGGCTGGCATAAACAACACCGCTGAGGCTAAAGCTAAAGCTGAGATGACAGATTTCTGTATTAAGCAAAAACAAATGAATAAAAATAACTGGTTACATTCAGAATTCTTAGCATTCATGTTTACTGAAACCATTCTACTAACATTTAAAATCATCTTCACCTTGTGTTTGTAATCTACAATATGTACCATGTACCAATGCATCACAGTTTCATAGTAAAACAAATGTTACTTCCTGGATCAGTATTTGTTCTCTGCAGTGATGTTGTCTCCTGAGTCTTTATTTGCTGACTTATGAAACAGTATCAATGTGTCTTTTTTACCCATTAGGTTTTGGAGTAATGAACCAGGTTCCAGTTCATCCTGCATGTTTGATACACCATCCAGGCCTGGAGCCTGACTGTTTGAATCCATACACCCCACAGAACATCTAACATTTACAGGTATGACTGTGGACACTAACGGCACAGAACTGAAGACGAGTCAGTTTTTATGACGTAATGAGAATGTAATGTGTAAACTCAGTCCTGAACGCTGAGGATTCATTATATCAAAAAACCCACTTATAAAGAAATGACAGTCTTCTGTCAGAAGAACTTTATTTTTAGCAAATACAAAGGAAACACACATTAAACACACATTAAACACACATTAAACACACAGTAAACATGGCTTCATAGAGACAGTGTCAAACACAAATCAGCTTCACTATAACTCGCAGCATTCACAGACAAACACTTGTCTTTATCTGGACACATTTTCCCCACAAATACAACATGCTAACGTTATTAGCACAAGCCTATGGCATTTTACATTGTATAAATTAGCCTAGCAGCTAGCAGAGATTTCCTCTGCTCATATTTCAGCCAGGATAAATCACACACAGTGTGTGGAGGCTTTATTGTCTTCACAATTTATTGTTTCTTATCTGTGAAATTAAAGTAAATCAAAGCTTTGTTTCCACTGAGGGAAATGGTTTCAGCTCACAGAGACAGACAGGAGGTCTGCGTCACTGTGACGTGGAGTTACATTTCTGGGGAGGTGCACGTTGACGCACAGCCTATGCTGTAGGTACAGCGTTGATTCGATGCAGAAGTATAAATCCAGCATTGATGTTATTGATTGAGGTTTCAAGTTTAATGTGCTGAGTGTCTCCCCCTAGCTGTGATGCTGAGCAAACAGATGACGGCACTGTGTGTGACTGCATGTCTGTTCAGTAAGAAAGAAACTAAAAACAAGACTCTCTTTCATCACACATTTCTATGTTCACACGGCACTGTCATGTGACCAGGAAGGGCTCTGTAAGCTAAACACAGATAACACCAGCGCTGTACTGAATGTCACTTTTTCTTTACATTTGCATCATCAGTTGAGGTTTTCAAACACAGCTTTGAATGTCTATCATCATATATTTGTGGCGTTGGCTTTGGCGGCAGGTTGACACGTGCTCTCAACAAGCACAAAAGAGATGCTGTTTCTGCTCGTCACTTCCCTGTGAAGCCACGGCAAAGTCATGACGAGTCTCAGTCGGGTGCGCAGAAGGTGTAACAGAGGGTTGCATATTTACACATCCAGACCAGCGCACACACACACACACACACACACACACACACACACACACACACACACACACATTTATCCACCATGTCAGCCCCTGTGCTTCAACCTCACCTTGTTTTAACCTTTACCACTTCATTCGTGATAGAAAGATACGTTTGGTTGATGGACTGGATGATAACGTTATGGACTCCAGAAGATCTGAGTGACGCTGGTGATGACAGGGCTGGATGACAGCAAGGTCGCCATGGTGACCAGATCCTGCTATGCAACCAGAGAGCAGTCAGCTGATGGAGTTTCACCATACGACCTCATCGTTGGCAGGTGAGACTCTGTCAGTGGCTGCCAGGATCAGCTGCTGATGCTGCTGATGTCATCATGTGTGGTTTCCTGTTTCTGAGCAGATGTGGCAAAGACTCGACGGAGGAGGAGGAGGAAAGCGACGAGGGAACATCCAACTCCTTCTCTTTCAACGTGTTCCAGTTCTCCAGGAAGGATGAGGATATCTAGCTGAAGTGTGAAGTGGAGCTGTGCCTCACAGAGGAGCAAAGCTGCTCTCAGGTCAGAGGGAGGAGGAAACACTCGTATACAACAACCTGAATCTTAAAGTAACAAAAATGAAAGTTCTCATTATACTGTATGCTTCCTGTCACAGTCTTAATATTTAGATATCAAAGGGATTATTAACGCTGATGCATTAATGTGTGAGCCGCACTGGTGGAGGTGAGTTGCGTATAAAGTGTTGCACAGCCGAGGTATCGATGCGTTTCCTGTTGCGATAGTGCCACGAAAAGCAGTTGTTTTTTACTGGGACGTAACTGGGCTCAAACATGATCTTTCCCAAACGATAATAATAAAGTTATTGTTAACCACAGCGTTGTTGTTGTTGTTGTTGTTGAAGTGTAAAGTTTTAATGTATCTGCCACACAGTAACGCACAAATGTAACATATAAAATTCATATATTTATACTACACAAAAAGCTAAATATTGACACAGTGTTGACCTCAGTGAAGCCGACACACCTGACCGTCCTCTCTGTCTTACAGAGCTGTAACGATGGAGGCAAAAGGAGGTGCAGATCCTTCAGGTCTAGATATGATAGAAACTCGGCCGTCATCACGATGTCCTGGAATAATTAAAGACAGCTCCCCTTCTGATGGATTACACGGTATGTGTGAGTTTGTCGTGGTGATTTGACTTTTCTTGGAGCTACAGATGTAGAGTTTGTCCTGTGGGTGGCGCCAGAGGAAAGGTCACGGGGTTGTTAATATGAAAACAGTTGATCCTCTCAGGAGCAGGAGTGTGATCAGGAACATTTACGACAGTCTCACTGTAGATATTTGATATTTTAACCATGACTCATCACAGTTTTGTCTCCTCAGGTGATTCCTCACTTGAGCTTCGTCCCAACAAGGAGCCTGAAATCTCAGAGTCTGAAGTTATCGTCGCTGTGAAACCACGC